TACCACTACCACACTAACCAAATATTTAATAACATAGCAGTTCAGAATTTCAGCTTTCTAACATCACGACTGAGGAAGGTATCACCACGTAGCTTTTTTACCCTACGGATAACAGCTGTGTCTTAAAGAGACACATTTCCCAAAATCAGCTCCTTGTGAGACTCTTGACGCACGGCGCTCCAACCTATTCTGGGCCAACTAAACACCGGCTGTGAGCTACCAAAAGCACTTTGACAGCATTCTTACTGAACGCAATTGAGGAACGATGAGGCTGAAGTGCATTTACGTGCCTGTCATTGTTGGAGACTGAATGGCAGCACACACAGTTTTAAGGACCATCATCCCTAGCTAATCAACAGTCAAGTCAAATAGCAAGGCACATAATGTAAAACCACTGCAGTGATTAGTATGAATATAGTTATCGTATCGCATACTGCTAGTTGCGATAACTGTACTAAAAGCGGATGCATTTTTACTGGAATACAACAACACAACAAAAGCCAAAAGCTAGCCCATACATAGGTATGCCCATAACGCATTGAAGCTCCCCAGTCTCTGACCAACACATACAGATGGGGATGAGAAAGAGCGGAGCATCAGAAGTAACTCCATGACAGATCAAAATCCAGAGTAGAATAGCCATTAAGTAAGCAAATTCCTTTAAGCTGTCTTTAACAATCTGTTTGACTGAACTCATACCTATCTGCTTGGGGAACGACAGTGCACATAGGCTGGTAAATAATGCATCATAGTTAGCGTATTCTAGCATACAACACAAAAATACATATTAAATATCTGAGTGACAATCTTAAGAAATTATCATAATTAAGTGACTAAAAGAGATTGCCTCTCACTGGAACTTAAACTGATCGCAGAAGAGTTGCTGATTAATTAATTTAATTATTGATTTATTTGGTGCTCTTATTGCAAAATATGTGTGTAATATTTTAGGAAATACTTTTATTTGGGAAATGTTTTCATTGTTCCGACACAGTTCTTTTTTTAATTAGAGAATGATATTTGCAATAAGGAATGTGAAAAGTGCTTTAAGATATTAGGTAACACTGATAAAGCACAGCATTCCAAAAATCACAAATAGCTTTTTCTGGCTAGTAATAGTCACTAGATAACAAAATAGCATGCAAGTTTTGCAGTTAAGGTATGTAAGGTTTATGTTAGGTACTTTGCTGAACACAAATAGGCTGAGGCAGATGTTTAAATCTCACTGAGTTCAGTGGAATTTTAGGGCTTTGCTGAACATGGAGAGACTAGTGATGCTTGAAGGTATGCATGTGAATTTGTGTTCAAACTGACTTCCGCAAGAGAACGTTAAGGATTAAAAAGTCATATCTTGTCTATAACTGAAAACCACTCACTTGAGAGAACAAGTCAAATGTTTTCGGCTGAGCTTGTATATCTAAGTTCACGAATGAAAATAAATAATCCAGATTTACCTTTCAACACAGTCAGAAGCTGCCCCATCAGACCCCCATAAGTAAATGTGTATTTTGACTTACTGCATTTCCCTTTTCAAATGGCTACTTCCTAATGGTACTTCCTCATTTAGAATTATAGCTGAATCCATGTACACAAATGAGAAAATGAGAGAATGACAGGTGACAAAAAGAAAATTCCCCTCACCAATATTTTTCCTCCCATGTACACGAAATGCTCAGTGAAACGGACTTTTATATTCAGGAATATAAAATTATTCAAGGCAGCACCTAACCTTGTAATTTGCTTGCATTAAAGTCAATGGCAATGTTAGTGTACTTCATACACACAAGAAAAAAATCCCTGTTCAATCTGCTAGAAGTAAATGGAAAAAAATCACTACATTTCCTGTCAAATGGAAACAAGTATAAAGAAATAACAAGGAACTATAAAAAAATCATTGTATAAGATATCTACATTTTAGAATCAAATGCTTTACTACATTTTCCTTTCCAAAACGTTGGGAAGAGTAAGAATTTGTTCTTAAGGGCCCTCAATTCTGACTCGTTCTAGCCGAGGACTGATTGCCAGCTTGTAGCTCCATCTACTGTGCCAAACTGAAATAACAAGGAGTTTGATTTTTTCTTTCCATTTTTTTTAAACTGTATCTCAATCGCCTCCGAAAACAGAAGATCCAGGAATCAGCACTAAATATAGTTGTTGAAAGTAAACAAAGTGAAGACAAAATGGCAGATAACGTGAGCCAATAAGTAGAATAGTGCACAATAAGCAAAGTGGGTTCTGTTTTGAAAAAGGGAGCCTCCACAGACCGTGGGGCGTTTGGCCAGCTTTTATTTTTCAATTTGACGTTAGATCTCTTGAGAAAATGTTCACCTTCCATTTTACATACCTTTTTGTGGTATCAAAAATCTCTTACGCTGCCTTCCTTGAAACCAAAATCACTAAGTTTTACATGGAAAGAAGGAGATTCTCACCCCTTGTCATGTCCAGAAATAAGCCTGTAGGAGAAATATTTTCGAGGGACCCTTTACGTGAAGAGAGAAAAGCAACAGCGTGAACCTTGTTTTTCTGCCTCCCAGCAGAAAGCTATTCGCATTATAACCTCCTAAGTTGCATGAAGAGAAGCAATTTCAAGGACTAATTTCAGAACTAATCAATTGTTTACTTCAAAAGCGGTTACTACAGAAATTATCATTAAGGAATAGCCAGGCTCAAAGCAAAACATAGAATGTAAGAAATTTTAAACCTCCTAGCGAATTCTTGTGTAGTGCACTGTTGAGGCTACCTGAAATGTTGTATGAATTAGCCTTTAAAGTTGTTTGGACACATATCTATTTACACCTCTCCCTCTCACCCCAGAAACTAAACCACACGCTAAGCACAAGCCCGTGTTCTGCTGGTTAAAAAAGAGCAGTCTGGGCCGTAGTGTTGTACCTGCTCTATAGGTAGGTCTTATTTTCTATAGCTGTCAGTCCAGGGCCTTCCACAAATTCAACATAAATTTCACAAATATTTGGTGTCTTATCCCTATTTTATTTCACGTATGTAATTCAATTGAGCACATTAGACAGAAGTTACTCTTCTGAACAATCCCCCTAAAAAAGCCTGTCTTTCTTTCCACTGACGATACAGAGATGAGACTTCTAGGTTAAGTGTTAAAGCCCTCTCTTTTATCTTAAGAGTTCTCTTCTGTTTTGATTTTATTTTGATCTTCTATAGAACATGAGCAGAATCAGAAAGAGATCCAGAAGCCCGTCCAAATGCTATTTGCTTCAGTTTGCAATGGTATTTTTCCATTTTATACTCATAAAGGGTAAACATTTTGAACATATGTGAAAGCAAGTTAGGAACCTGAAATCTGTTTTCAAAAGTCATTTAGCCATGTAAAAATTTAATTCTTACAGAATATTCATAAACTTTAAGGTCCCAAGTGCTTAAACTATATTTCTTAAATAACGTGTAGGCTCCCAATTACTTCACTGCTTCTGAAAACTTTCATTCAGGCATGTCTTTGCTGGTTGTTTTAGTCATACTAATACAATATAAACCAAAAGGGACTCATAAAAGGCGTGCTGTCTAGCTATTAGATGGTGAGGTACAACATATTACAAAAAAATAAACCTATATCCTGAAGAACAAATTATAAATAGATAGGTAATACCTAAGCATTTGCAATGACTACAGATTATATTAGTTTGAAAAACTAAATCACTCACCTACAAAAACTAAACATATGACAGAACAAACAAGTCTTTCTAGCACAATACTTTGGGCAAATTCTTAACGAATCATTACTTTAGAATTTCAAGTTTGGAAAACTGTTACGTGTCAGGTGGACCTGAGACTATAAAGACAGGTATGAAATAGTGACGAGTCCATGGAGCTCAGTGTACAAACCTAGCAAGTTCAAACATTTCATTCAAAAGCTCAGTGTACAAACCTAGCAAGTTCAAACATTTCATTCAAAAGCTCATTTAAATACAAATGGTACTACATCTCTTTGCGTTGTCAGACTTAGAATGCCTGCCTAATGTCTGTCAGGGGCCATTAGTGTCACAGTTCAGTGTTCTGTCAGAGGCAACCATCTTATATCACCCACCCTTGAACACATATTTCTATTTATTTTTGTGCCGTTATTGTCTTCCTAACGCTTCCCAGATTTTTTTTTTTTTTAAATAATAGGTGAGCATGGCCGCAAGTAGCTGGCTCACTACTACGTTAATATGCATGTCTCCAGCCAAACATTCAAGTTCAGGCAACAGGAAATCAAAAAAACATACCCCAGCTTGGGAGTGCTTTCCCTCAAAAAACACACCAGAAGCTACGGTAAGGAAGTCCCATTAAACTATCTGAATTCACTGCAAATATATCGGTAGATGTCATCGTATTTACACCCAAACCTCAACTATTCCACGGCATTAAAATTTTCCAGCATGCCTATCAAATGCCCTGGTGTCAGACGTCGTTCTGGATTCAGATGTGTTAGGGGTGGATGAACGTGACCAGGAACATCCCTTGAGATCTGGCTGATCACTTCTACCGATGACAGTTCTGACGTGAAGGAACACAGAGAAAGTCAGTCTTTGTTACCAAAGACTGAAGTGGGCGGAATACCACAGTTTCACGTAGGCTCTTCATGTAACAAGGCTCTTTTAACAGAGTACTTATGTCTTCCCCCAGCGAATCCATCTGCAAATGGTTTTGCTTTCTGGACTCGATTTTACTTTCTCAGTCTTCCGCAAGAGGGGTTGTAAACCAGTGGTTCAAAACCGGCACATTCTTGTACTAAGTCCTAGGGGCCTATTAGACGTTCCCAGAACATCTAATATCAGTATCTGAGATGGAAGATGAACACGTTTCAAAACACTTGATCACTGGCCCAGGCAGGATAATGTATGTATTTCAAATTGACGCCAACGTGGATAAGCATAACAAATGGCAAAATCACCTGGTTTACCATGCTAAACGTGGGCAGAAGAAGGTACTCCCGAATGTGCTTTCAGGTAAGGTGTATTTGAGTCTTACCGTTAATGTAAATGCTTTACCTTCTGCATATATAGCCGTGCTGTCCCTTGGTGGATAGGACTGCTGTAACTCTAAGCAGTTCTTCCAGGCTATCACTGCTCTTGTTAAATTCTGAGTGTGTCTCGATTTCCTTTACTTTCTTTACTTACAAGGCCACACTGATTGAGGTGCTCACATGAAAATTGCTGTAATGGAGAAATACAAACACTGAAATACTGTAATTTAAAGTAATTGCCATGGCTGCATAGAAACAAATTTTAAACCATTCTTTGTTATGAGTAATTTATGGTTATTAAAACTGACTGTTTTAAACAATCTTAAAATACACATAAGAGGAAACAGTACAGCTCCGGCGATAAGGCATTTGTGTTCTTTTCCTTCTGTTTTTCTCCCCTTGAATTGATCAGCAGTAATTGTGTAATTACTAAACAACCTCAACTTTATTACTTCTGTTTAAAATAAGTAATGATGGTTCAATTTTTAGTTAATCTTGTCTCCCATTTAAGGTCTTCCTTTTTTTTTTGATAGAACGCTATGCATCAAGGAGGTGAAGTGAGCCAGTCTTTTTGATGCATGTGTTCAAGGAATGCTACAGTTCGGGTTCACAGCTCCCAGAATGACATGAATAAAAACATCGCAGCACATACACAAGCTGTGACAGCTGTATCGTCTCAAAAGCAATGCATCAAGGATACCCAACGAATTCACTCATTTTATAACCAGTGAAAATGGCATGCCTTGGTTTTTCTTTTAGTTTCATAGCTCATTTGGCTATCACGTGGAGGTGTGTAAGCTCTATGTCCTCCTACGTTTCTCCGACCCTGACAAATATTAAAACCAGATGTATGCAGAGAGATGAAGAGAGAAAAATGTGAGGAGTGTCATTTTCGGTTAAGAGCATTCAGGTGTTTTAAGAGGCTCTAGTTCTTCAGCGCTTACAGGTATTCAGCAGAAGCAGTTGCATTCACAAACGGATATAAACTGCTACTGAACTGGCTAGAAGGAGACAATAGGAAAAGAGAGCTTTATGGCAGCTGGAGTATTCACCATTTCAGGTTAGAATTTCAAAAAGGTTTCACAAAAGCAAAAAAAACCCCAACACCCTCTATCCAAAAAAAAGAAGTATTTAAACAATTTTAGTGTATCATTTTAGTGCACTTACAATAGAAGTTATGGACGTTATGGGTTAAATTCATTATTTAATCTTTGCACATCAAGAATGAGATATTTGCTTGTACCCCTCTTTTTCCCCGCAACCCTCACTGATAATTTCAGAGGTTCTGATTACTATGCAGGAGCTTCTGGGGGTGGAAAAATACCTAAGAAATAAGACCTGAGTGTGGACAGTGTGTGTTTAGGACTGCTGGAGGGGATGGCATAGAACACAGGTGGGCTGAATTAGCTGAAACATCCACGAACCGGAAGGGAGAGAGTGTGTACATACAATCAGGGCAGAAGGGTAGGTGGAGGCAACTCAGAGTTAAGGGATGTGAAAATATGAATGGGGGTGGTGGGGGGCGGGTGTTGGGGGGGGTTATTAAAGCTCAAATTGTTCAGTTCCTGTAACAGTTATAATTACAAACCAAAATCAATATCCTTGCTCCCTAATTATGATACTGCATCCAGTAATAAATGAAACTGAGAGCATACGCATGCAGAAGCTTATACCGTACGGTAGGTTTAAACATGTGAGTTATCCCACTGAATTTTTTAAAGGATCTGGCACACAGGACAGTTCTTAAAGGTATTAACGGAATTGTAAGCCTCAGGTTTTCGTGCTCAAATAGTGTTTGGTGGAGTGACCAGTAACTGGAATGGAACTGAACAAATACTGAAGTCACAGAAGAAAGGGATAACAAAGGATTATTATTTGTCTAAAGATTTACTGCAGCTTTACGGTACCAACAAAAACAAATGTCTAAAGTTAATCAACTCCACAGTCTTACAAAAGGAAATGTATTTGTTAGGTATTACTTTCCTGATTAGATCCTATTACAAACTTTCTGTTGTTACATAATCCATTACCTAAAAGCCCTGCAAACAGGAAACATGCCTTTGGTAATACACCCGTATGGGAACTGGAATAAAAAAAACCCAAAATCTTGATTATTTACTCCTTCATTATAAACATCTGTCTTGAAGATTATCATGGTATCTATAAGAATGTTTTATTCTGGGTTTCTAAAATATAAAGCGCATATAATGCTTTCTGAGGAGGTTTCATACCTCCCCAAAATGTTCTCTTGTTTAAACCATTACAAGATTCATATCTGCTTTTCTCTAAGCAGCTTTTGCCCATGACAAAAATAAAGCTTACAAGCATGACAAATCTAACACTAAGCTTCTCTAAAGACTGCAAGTGCTTTTATTGCTGTCGCACTCACAAAAGGCTCAAATTAGTGAGGGTGGTAGGGAGAAGTATATAGTGTACGTAACACAAATGGTGGTAAATTACTTGCTCTGCACCGCAAGACGACAAGGAACAATTCTTTGATCAGAACAGAGGTCGCTACCATAAAAAAAGCTGAACAGATCGCCCCAGACAGGCGATGGTGCTCGTGCCAGGAAGAGTGGTGTTTGGCCTAGACCGGCTCAGTGGAACCCTCAGTGTCACGCCCCTGCGCTGCGCTGCACTGCACTGCGCTGCGCATCGCACCGCGCTGCACCGGAGAGGGTCGGAGAGGGCAACTCCTCGCTAGCAGGTCAAAGGGTGAAACCCAATCCCGCAACCACCCTTCCTGAATCCAAGCTGGTGAATTTGATGTATTTGCACAATCTGCCCCTTTGCCTGACCGAACAGATTCAATACATGATTTGTTTCAAGGAGTCAGTCACCTCAGGGATCAGACTATAATGACTAGGTCACTTTCCCAGTCTTACCACTTAAAAGAATGACATCTTTTTCACGTGCAAATCATCAATCTCAAGCTGCATGACTGACTGTATCTATATTCACTTACGGTTCGAATTTTCTGCTTGTTGTGATTACAACAAATAACAAATCCTTCGTATGTGTACACGTCTCACTGTAAATCAGTAAATACCAGTGCATTTGACATAAAAGGACAAAATCATTATCCTAACGGATCTGCCTTCATGTATCTTAATACTGTTTTGTTTCTGTGAATTTAATGCAATCATACCAGGAAATAGTAGTTAGGTGGCCAAAACACTCCCATTTATTCCTTTTGGATCACATCAAACTGTCATCTACAGGGGTGTTTACAGATTTATTGTTCAGTTTAGACCTCATACCTGAAGATTAGAGGTTAGGAACCACAGTTAAAGAGCTGGGTGTCTTAGAAATAATGTTATAACTTAACAATGGTGCTGGTACTACTAATGCAGTACTTTTATTAAGTACATATTGAGGCATACAAGGTGGGTAGGTTTTGGTGGGATGTGAGGCACATGAAGATTTGTGGGGGAAACTACATGCAGGCTTAGACTCATGATAACTTTTTTTGAGAAGCTTTTTAAAAAGCAATGTTTCATTTCAGAGGTGCTGCAAACGCAGGTGGGGTGTTCTGACATTATCCAAATAAAGACAACAATTAAGCTGAAAGAAATGAAGTATGACAAGCTCTTTGCACTCATGTAAAATGTAAGCGAAACACAAAGATACTACTGGCTTGGAAACACTCAATTTCAAAACATCAGGAGCATGCCAGTGCATTAGCACCATTACCTAGCTTTAATCATTTGTTTGTATGGTAAAAAAACATTCTCCTGCTTGATTTCCATTAGACCTAAATAAAAAAAAAAAGCCCATCCCTTTCATGACAATGTATGAACTGCCTTTATCTGTCAAAAGCTTTGTGTTAACGCAGGAGTCGCCCTGCATCATTCTCGGGGAAGGTGACAGTGTTTTTCCAGAGAAAAAACAGTTGAGTAGGAATGTCCCAAATGCTACGGATGAAAGTCTGGGGTGGGGTGGGGGGCTGAGGGAGGAAACAGGATACGGTGACACAACTAAAGGATGTAATTAGTGTATCGTTGAAATAGCACGGGCAACTTGGTGTTTCGCTTTTTTTTTGAAATTCTACCAACTTTTTTTTTTTTTTAAACTGGGCTGGGGAGTCCGCCTTGGAATAAAAAACCCCCAGGTAGCGCGGAAGGCAGAGGAGGCTGCTGTTGACTCGTCATGTCAAACGCGCACATCCATTGCTTCACGACGGGGGGGGGGGGAGGGGGTGCGCCAAGCGCTGGCCCGAGCCGTCAAGTTTTTGGGCGCGGTAGCCCAAACCGCCCCACACAAAACAAAACAAAACAAAACAAAACAAAAAGGCGGCGCTTCCCACGGCCGAGCCTTACCGCTCTCCTGCCGCCATAAGGCTGGCGAGCTC